CAATGTCTACCGAGGATGTATTCGTTATGCTGAAATAGGGAAAAACGAATCATTTAAAATTGCGTTACTTTTACAGTACACCTAATGCCCTTCTCAATCATTAAGTATGCACTTAACTGCTAGCAACAATCAATGAGTTAACTAAAAATCATAACAAAGGCACTTGTTATTTTTATAATAGTAAACGATATAGGAAAATATAAAAAAAAAAAAACAAGAAAAAAGCAAAATACAAACGATAATTGTGTTACAGATAAGATAACCTCTACTTGTAATTGAGGAAGGTCAAACATGATAAGAATAGCCCCAGCGTTTAACTTACTCCAATTCCGGCGTTGTGGGCGTGTTGCAGGTTGTGTTGTAGCTCAGCGGCGGTGTGGACTTGTGCACAAATCGATCAGCCGGCACCGAAATACTGCGTCCGAACTCAGTATTGATGGGCAAGGCTGGGCGCACCTTGCGAGGTTTACTTATTGGGAAAATTAAAAGTGCAGTTAGAAAGGGATCATGCAAACCAATTAAGCAACTCACTCTTGCAAAAAGGGATCTTCCAGAAGTTGCGAGGCGGAGGGTCGGTCCATAACGCTTATGGCGAAGCAACGCAGAATAAAGTTCTTGGCGTTGGCGGACAGCTCCTCGGGTATGTTTGGATGCTTCTTGTAGTACCCCACCTTGAACATGGCCGCCTGGGCGCAACCCAGCTCGATGAACGGTGGCTTTCCCGTGGCCATCTCAACGTTTGTGCAGCCAAAGGACCAGATGTCAGCCGCCGGGCCATAGCCGCGCACGCCCTGGTCAATCACCTCTGGCGCCATGTACTGCAAGGTGCCCGTAAAGGTTTCCGTCATCGGATTGATGCGGGCCAGCCGCTTAGAGGTGCCGAAATCGGAGATCTTCACCACGCCGCTATACGTGTTAACCAGCACGTTGTCACCCTTTATATCGCGATGAACAATGTCCTGCTCGTGGAGGTACTTCAGCCCCTCGAGGATCTGCTTGGAGTAGAAAGCCATGGTGGACTCGTTGTCCTTGAGCGGACCCCATTTGGTCTCTAAAAGGTCGGAGAGCGAGCCTCCCGGCACCTGCTCCATGAAGATCTTGAAAAAGCCGTCCTCCGAGCGCGATCCCAAGTAGCGTACTATGTTGCGGTGTCGCAGCTGAGAGTGTAACTTAATCTCCTCGTGCAGCGGCTGCACATCCTGGGAATTCTTTTCCGGCACCTCCTTGATGGCGATTCGCACCTGGGTCTGCTTGTCTCTGGCGGCGTACACGGTGCCATATGTGCCTTTGCCCAGCACCATTTTGCGGTTCTGCTCATCGTAGTCGTACTCGTACTGCAGTTTATAATTGTTAGCAAAAGTGGCGCAGATATATAAACAGTCAATTACTCACCTCGATTTGAGCGTCATCATTGCTGAGATTGACAAACACCACCTGATCAGCGGTCATCTCTAGGATCAAGTCGTAGAACTTTTGTCGCCGCTCAGTGGAGGGAAAATATATTTGAAAATCATCTGAGTTGTGATGGACGTACAAGTAGGCACAACGATCATCGCGCTTGTAAAGACTGACGGACTTGATCTTCGATGCCACGAAAAGGAAGTCGTGGATTTTCTTACACGCGTTCTTCGCATGAGCCAGACAATTGTTCACAATCTGAATGGACTTTTCATCCGCATCCATGTTAATAGTCACATAACTGGGCATATAAATCTTTTGCGGCTCGAGAATCTGAAATTTGTTTTTAGTTAACAATAAAGTTTATACTGCAGATCTGAGGTACGAACCAGAATCGGGAAACGAATGCTGTTCTTCACCTCCTCGGTGTTGGTGGCCTCCAGAAAGAAGTCCATCCAAAACTGAAAAACCTGCTCCTCGATGGGCGGCTGGCGTTCCTCGGGCTTCTTTCGAAACCGATGTATAAGAGAGATATTTCCGATGGTGGACTTCAAATACCAGTTAGGTGGCTTTAGTTTGAACATGCACTCGGCAGCTTGAATCGCCTTGGCGTAGTCCTTGGCCAAAACGGAGATCTCGAAGAAAGTGGCCACATCCCAATACTCACTCAGCGAGGAAAGGCTGCCCTTTTTGCCGATTAAATTGTTCAAGGTCATGCCGATGTGCTGCAACTCCTCCGTATTGGTAAACTCCTTGCCCTCGATAACCAGCAGGGTGGCCAGATTGATGCCTGCATACTCATTTGGCTGCACCTCAAAACTTTGACGGTACCACTTAATGGCGTGCGCCAAACTGGTGGCATCCGTGTAATCGGACTCCACGAAGATGTCCTTGTAGATGCGGCCGCACAAGCAGAGCATGTCCGGAAAGTGGTTCTCCTTCTTTTCCAGCGCCTTCAGTGACGATTCCAGAGCCTTTTCACGGTCTCCTTTCCGATTTCTGCGGTTGAGCGCGAAGGCGTACAGAAAACTCATGTTGCCCGTCTCCACGTACTTCCGGGTGTTGGGTATATTCTTCAGGTCATTGACCAGCCGCACCATGGCATCGTAGTCCTGCACATCCCTCAGCGAGCACATGAAGCTGTGTACCACTTCGCCGGAAAGGACATGAGGGTCGTCCAGCCGCTTCCGCATCTCGTGCAAGATGCTCTGCAGCTTGGCGCCGTTGGTGGCGTACGTGTCCCGCGCCGTTCGCATGTCACTCAGAAATTTCTCACGCATGTGGGCTCTGTAAATAACCGAAAATAGCTTCGTTCAGTTTGTAGGTACATAAATAATGCATAATTAGAACAGTGTTTTGTGCTCTGGATAAAATACTAATTAACTTAGCATCTATCTCGCCCACCAAATTAAATATTTGATTTCGCAGTAGGTTCCATGTTTATATGGAATGTGTATATTCGAAAGTATAAATTATATTTGTGATGAACAACAATTGTTAAGCCCTAATATCACTAGAGTGCCGACTAAGGACAATTATAAAACTATAGAGACTTTAAAATCAATAGCGAGTAATGATATTTTATTTGCATGTGTTCCCAAGGCCAACACTATAAATCGGTCTGATTCATTTCAGATGTAAGTCGTGACTTAAGCGGCAAATCTACCGCAGGGGTTGTTAAAAATAGTGTTCAGATATGCAATCACCGTGCATGAGTTTCTGCATAGGGGACTTCCCGGGGATACTCACTTCGACTGGATCTCCACATCTTGCAGCTTCCGCTTGAGGCGCCACTGCAAAGTGGGCACTCGTCCCTCGGCGGCGGGCTCCTTGTTGTTGTTGTTGCTGTTGGGCTGGCTGGTCAGGTGGCAGGAATTGGTCTCCGCATTCCGCTTGTAGCTGAGAAACAGGTAGTTGGCACACGAGAGCTGCAAGGGGAGCAGAGTGTACCTAATTTAGTGACCGCCACTGTGAATGCAGGCCACACTGCGTTGGTGTACGCCGCGCTCTAAGTGTGTGTGCGTGCTTCTTTGAGTGTTTGCGTGGGCGTGCTCGCATTTGTTATTGTTATTGCTGTTATGCTGTTGTTGCTTTATGGCCGCGGCCAAAACAAAAATAACGAAAACGTTTCGACGGAAATACAGTCGAACTTCCATAATACAAATTATTGTGTGCCATATGGGAAAGAGATTTCAGATACTTAGTGTTTTGGAAATTGTTTAAAACTTTCTTGTTTTGAAAAAGTGCCACAGAAGCTTTTTCGTTTTTTCAGCGGCTTGTAAGAGCAACAATAGTACATAGATTAAGTTTAAGGCGGTGTCTGAGCACCGCTGCTAGAAACTTCGAGTAGAGTTAGTTCGCGTCGTGGAAGCTCGACTGTAAAAAGATCAGCCAGGGCAGCTAGTACAGGAGTCCACGCAGTTGCTGGTCATAGCATTTATCTTATCGGAAACGGATTCCCGATCACGCCCGCAAATGTTTGACCAGGCACACCTGGCCAGGTAAATAGTTCAGAACGCACCTTGAGACTGAGTGTCTGCTTGGACTCGATATCGTTGTAGGTGAGGATGTTCTCCTTCATGCCGAAGCTCTCCCTGACGCCGTAGTGATAGGACAGCGGCCGCTGCTGGGGCAGGATGCTCAGGTCGATGACGGCCACATCGGCGTTGTAGAACGTTTCCAGCACATTCGTCTCCCCGAAGTCCAGGCGCTCGAACTGCAAGGATGGCAAGTGGGAAATAAAGCCTCCTATATGCCATTGTATAACCCATCTGGCGAACCTGAACCCGCTGAAAGTTGGCGCCCGCCGACTGCACCGCCTGCTTGATCTCCTCCAGCGCACAGAGGCGGTCCTCCAGATGGTCGCCCACCGACGTATCCATTACACACACCACATCCATCGCTGGTTCGATCCGATTTGGATTCTGGTTCGATCGCAGCTATTCTTGGCACTTTTCTGCTTTTGGACGGACTTCGCGCACTACGCGCGATTTCTGCACTTACTGGACGGCCGACGCGCGCACCTCAGTGGCAAAAACGGTCATTACCACGTTCCTGCTGCACTTGCATCGCGTTAATTACCGCGTAACGAATAATTATCAAATAAATAAAGAAACTTTTTGCTTTTGTGGTGTGACCGTGCAAGAGCTACTAACAATATACCGAAAGCGGCCATAAATACACCACAAAAAAAATGCTAAAAGGGAAACCCTTGCTGAAGTTTTGGCGCTCAGTTCACTTTTTTGAGTTTTTTTAAATTTGATTTAAGAGATATTCAATAGTGCTTAGAAAATAGCGGCATTTCGAAATTGTCCGCACAAATATTTTCAAAAGCACGTTAATTTCATCAATTTACTTAAATTCTTAATATAAATTAAGTTCTTCAGTGTAAGTTTTATTAATTTTATTTTTATAATAACATTATGTAGTGCAATTGGCATGTAATTAAAAGTTTTGCAAATAGTTTTGAGAGCGATTTATATTCAAAAGTTTATATAGATTTTAGATGGTTGATTTATGTATTTTTACCTACAATACACAAAAATAGAATAGAATGTTTTTGAAAAACATCTTTCCCAATAGGATTAAAACGTTTATTAAACACAAGTACAAATTACAATTACAAAGCCGAACCATGCTTCAAATGATATTCATGTTAACTTTTATCTTAACTAGCATATTCCTTGAGAATGGAGCCCGCGATGACCAGTCGCTGGATCTCGGAGGTGCCCTCGTAGATCTCGGTAATGCGGGCGTCCCTATAGTGACGCTCGGCAGCCATGTCGGTCACATAACCCATTCCTCCGAGGATCTGGATGCACTGGTGGGAGCACAAGGTGGCCGCCTCCGAGGCAGCCAGCTTGGCCATGGCGGCCTCTTTGGTGTACGGCTGCTTTTGGTCCTTCAGCCAGGCGGCGCGCCAGGTGAGCAGACGTGCCGACTCCATGGCCAACGACATGTCCGCGATCTTTTGCTGGATCGACTGCAGCTTAGCAATCGGCTTGCCGAAGGCCTGTCGCTTCTGGGCGTAATCCACGGCCAGTTCCAGGGCAGCCTGACCAATGCCAAGCGCCTGGCCAGCGATTCCTATACGGCCCGCGTCCAGCGTCTGCATGGCAATCTTGAAACCGAAACCAGGCTCGCCCAGCATGTTCTCCTTCGGCACTACGCAGTCCTCGAATATCAGCTGACAGGTCGATGATCCTCGAATGCCCAGCTTATCCTCCTTCTTGCCCAGCGAAAAGCCCTTGGTAGCCTTGGGCACAATGAATGCGGAGATGCCCTTGTGCTTCAGCTGCTTGTTGGTGGTGGCAAACACAATGGCTGCTTCCGCCTCGAAGGCATTGGTGATCCAGGCCTTGGTGCCATTCAGCACAAAGTGATCTCCCTTGTCGATGGCTATGGTGGAAGCAGCTCCAGCGTCGGATCCGTTTCCAGGTTCAGAGAGGGCAAAGCAACCCACTCGTTCGCCGGTGGTAAACGGGGTGATGTAGTCCTTTTTCTGGGAATCGTTTCCGAAGGAGAGAAGGGGTCCCAGATACAGGGAGTTGTTTACCGACATGATGACGCCTGCAGAGGCACAACCCCTAGAGATTTCCTCCATGGCAATGGCGTAGGCCACATAATCCAGCCCAGTGCCACCTGTTAAACATCATAAAGTTAGTATAAAAAGGGCTGAGATGCGTTTGACATCTATTACCCAGCTCCTCGGGGATCGCTACTGCCATCACGCCCAGTTCGCCCATCTGTCGGATCTGTTTTTCTGGATACAGGTGCTCCCGATCGAACTTGGCTGCGTTTCCACTGAGCTCATTGTTGGCAAAATCCCGACAGGACTTCTGCAGCATCTGATGCGTCTCCGAAAGCGCCGACAACGAGGCGATTTGCCGAGCATTTAAGGATCTGCGGGCTGAATATCAATATCTGGCTTAGGATCTTGCTTATAGAGAACTTTTTAATGGCTGGGGCTCAAAGTCCACACATCAGTTTGTCTTACCGATGCCTAACGAGCGGGTGAGTACAGATTGCATGTTTGTGTTGGATTGCTTCTTACTATTATTAATTAAATATATTGCATAAAAGACGGATAAAATATTATAAAAAAAGCGACTATTGTAACAAATTAAAAATGGACAGTGTGACCAGAGGCGGGCGCCGGCTGTATATGCATGTAACAAGTGGTTCTTACAGGGTGACTCTTGTTAGGGAATTCTTGCCTCTTGCAGCCTGAAAAATACTAAATTTCTAAATTTGTTAATTCGCGGTTGCAATCCACATTTTCCAGCTTGATAATGTTGGTACCATCAAATAATTGTTGATGTGTTTTGTTATTATAGAAAAAACGCGGACCCAAAGGGACAAATATGTCGCACACATACCAGGGAACGGAAACCCTGACGATTGAGGCTCTAGATTTCATCTACGAAGATGAAATGGAATGTGAGTTTTACCGAAGATTTTAAGCCGGTTGAACAAGGATACAGTTCCCTTTTTACAGATTTGCACCCTAAACAAGCGCCAAGAAAGGACGAACAAGCCAAGGCGGTGAAAATAAAGCGACTGACTTGCAACATAAACGGCTGCACTTACTCAACGGACCGCAGGAGAGACCTGAGGCGCCACAGGCGGTCGCAGAAGCACATGCTGCTGGAGTCTTGCTCTGATTCCGAATCCGAGGTGGAACCGTCGCTGTTCTCGTGCAACGTCTGCGGCTACAAGACTGCCAAGCGATATTGCTTCGACCGGCACAAGGAGTCAAGGCGCCACATAATGAAGGAGCAGGAGGAGTGCGAGAAGCTGATGGACGAGGCAGAAAAGGCAGAGATGCCCGTGAAGCGCATAATAAGAGTGGAGGAGCCAGCACCCTTGGATGCGGACATCCTTCACACCTCCATGCCATGTGACTACATTACCACTCGAAAATCTCGCATAGAACTGCAAGCAAAAAGCCAGGCACAGATCAAGATCTTGCAGACCCAGCTGTCATCGAATGAGTACATACAGTACGCGCCCCAGGGGCAAGAACAGATGGTGGGTCTATCTGGGGAGTCTGAGGAGACCGAGGACGAATACCTGGCCTACAAGATGGAATGCAGCTCCACCCTAGAGTGCGCGCCCTGCGAATACAGAACGGCCAGGAGATTCTGCTTCGTTCGCCACATGCGGTCGGCCAGGCACCTGGCCAAGATTCAAGCTGTATTAGATGGCGTGGAGGAAAGCGAAGCCCTTGAGTCGGTAGAATACTTGGAAGCGGAAAATGAGCTGGAGGATATCGAGAGAGAATCGGAGAGATCGTTTGTGGAGGAGCTTGATATGCACGTTATGGAAGAGCCCAATTTGATGGAGGATATACAGGTCTTAGAGGAGCAAGATGGACCAGAAGAGATTGACAATCTAGTGGAGGTCGACGGGGTGGTTCAAACAGAGCCCGGTTTCGAAGTGATAGAATATACACCTGCCGAAGAAAATGTTTACGAGGAGATCGTGTACCTGCCCACCGAAGACAGTCCGGAAGACATTTGCTACTTCATAGCGTTGGACAATGAATAAATTAGACATTCTCTGAGCTTTAATCACTTCATATTTTCACAATTTTTTGGTACGCCTAATAACATTGAAAGCCACCGAATTGTTAAATATAATCAATGCAATGAGCAGACTTTGTATATGAACTGTATTTCAGTTTTTGACTCGTTAAAGTCAAAAATTCATGTAGCCACTGAATTGAAAAGTGTTATAGGATAGGAAAATAAAGTTGTGGAGAACAGGTTTTGTAGATATAAATATATTATTTGTTATTAAGAATAAAGAATTTATTATTACACAAATATGGTGTATATTTATTTAAGTGTACCTTTGTAGTTTTAGAGCTGCACAACACTACAAATTTTAACCGTTGCGAATTGCATGTCGTTAAGCTGCAATGAAAAGAGTATTGTAACGGAACATTTCCTTATAATTGTTTACCTAACCAGCACTCAAACTCACCGAAGTGACTAGTAGACTAAATAATGTGCTAGTGCGAATACTTTTGCTCGCCACTGTGCATCTGGCAGTTTTCCGTTCTGGTTTTGACAGCCCGCTTTTCATCTCTGCGCAGATTCGACGCGCACGCACTGGAACTTGTTTAACGTTTTTATGTTTTTACTGCACAACTTTGTAAAATCAGCACACTACATTTAAAACCGCGCACAGTTATTTCCCAGTGTCCTGCGGGAGGGGAAGCACCATTTACGTTCACCAGCACGAAGAAGAGGAAGAGCACCGCTGTAGGAGTCCCGTTTGTTGTCCTATTGATTTGCCCCCACTGTTTGGAGTTTTTCGTTGTTCCTTGCACACCATTTTCGGCATCCACCGCCCGCTCCCGCTGCGCCCTCGAAAGACAGGTAAAAACAAAGTGCAAGTGCTCCATGTCTAAATGTAAACAAAAGAGGTGAGATGTGATAACGCTCACTCTCTCTCTCTCTCTCTCCCTCGCTCTTTGGCGATCTCTTGATAATGCCGCGTGCATTGGTGTGCGTGGGAGTTCATCCAGGGGCCTATATAAAGGGCCGTTCATTCACGGCGAGCACATTAAGTTTTAACGAGAAGCTGCCGCCGGATCCACCAGGTGTAAAAGTAGCGTGAGTCTCCGCATCTAGGATTTTCCCATTAGTAAAAAGTGACGCGTGTGGAAACCAAGTGTCTTCAGTGTCGGTTGCAGGCAGTTGTAACAAATGAGTGCCATAAAAGTGATCTGAGGCAGAATAACAAAATGTGTACTCCTCTAAAAAGGATACAGATTTAAAAAAATAAAAAATAAAATAAAAAAAAAATAAAATAAAATTTTTATAAAATAAAAATAAATAAATAAAAAGAACTTGGTCCCTTTGGAAAAATTTGGACAACTTTAACATAAATGCTCGGAACAAACAGGAACTTAAATGAAATACAATATTATGTTTTTATTTTTTATTTTGAAAATTTAACAAATGTCAATGGGTTTAAATATGAGTAACCCTATATTACTCGCTAAATATGTCAAAATCTCTTCTAATGTGCTTTAATTTGTATTTGATATTTGAATACTACAACTGACAGAAACCCTTTCATTGAAAACAAGCATTTATGGGTCAAGTTTACCACTTTGCTTTTATCGCGGCCCAAACAAACCGCTGGTGAAAAGTGCTCAAATAATAAAAGAACGGAAAGAGCGCAATCATCATGCGTCCACAATCTTTTTATTCGACACATTGAGTGACAGCTGATTGGGAAAGGAACGAATAATAGCTTTAGTTGTAATCCCATTACAGCGACACCTGTACAGGATATACGTACACCCCGACCAATGACCTGGCTCCTGAAGTCAGGAAATCGATAGAATTAGACCAATCCGACCAAGATGCAGTCAATGAAAGCCGATGAACTGCCGGAGAATCCGCGCGAGACGTCGAACATCTTCTCGTCCCTGATGTTCTGGTAAGTTTGCACACAGAATTCCACAAAATGCTGTCTAATTCGTAACTCTATCCTCAGCTTTGCCATGCCCACATTCTTCAAGGGACGCAAAAAGACTCTGGATGAGAATGATTTGTACCGGGCCTTACAGGAGCACAGATCAGGTGAGTTTCGGTAGGATTTGGCCAAAGTTCCCGGGCTCATTCCCCTCAGTGCGAGAGTACCAAAAGGAATCTGCCGACACGCCTTGCATAATAAATGGGCTCGAACTCGGCCCAAGATAATTTATGGACATATCTGCGGACCGGTCGATAATCAAATTAATTGAATTATTATAAAGAAATCGCCCGGCGCGTCAGATAAGCTGATTTGCCCTCAAGGAGTTTTGCATAAGAGAAGAATTTCTTATCAGCACGTAGCCAGATTAAGCCACACGTGACGTCATGTGGCAATAGATTGGGTTTTACTAGGTGACCACATGCCATCTATTAGTCACCTAGTAAAAGTGCTTTACACCATGCCCAGTTCCATTCCCAAACGCAGCCATAAGTTGATTTTCGATTTCTTCGCCCTTTGGCCAGCTTTCTAGAGTGGTTCCTTGAGATGGACATTAGTCGCGTGTGAAATCCCTGGTACCCGACGTGTCTCGAATGCTTCCTTGCTCCCCTGCTCCACCTGCATGGAGTATATAATTTATATAATCAACCAAACCGCATATTTACCACACTATCTCCGGCATTCAGACACCACCCGAATGAAGTGCCAGGGAGACACTTCAAGGCACCCGACGATTACGATTAGATAGGGCTTAGCATGCGCCCACTCTTTGTGGTTGTAAAGCCTTTCGGTTATTCCGCGGCTTCGAAGGATCAGCGCTCATTGAAGGGCTCTTCTCTAAAGGGGAAGTTGCGATTAGATAGAAGCGCTTGCTTATTGCTGCTTGTACCTTATACCATATACCATATACCACTATTTCATTGAGATCATTTGGCGGAACTATGGCCCAGTCTAATCCAGACGATAAGATAGCCCTTGGATATGCGCTTTCTGCACCATCACTCACTCACATTGAATTATACGATCGGCAGAGATAGCGCTATCCAATCTGGCACTCTCAGACCTTTGATTTCCTCGCCCAAACTTTCGAGGTGCCCCGAAAAGTGACAAAGCCGATATCTTTGACAACGTCCGCTGGCCACAATTAATTGAATATACTGCCCAACATAGTTGATAACGCTTCTCAACACCCCCGATATTGCACGCAATTAGGCACTCGGCTTATTTACTTACTTATAATAAATGGGTCCCTGAAGATACAATAGTATTGAGTGGATCGTGCCGAGGGGCTTATGCAATGCCAACTATAATGCTCATAGCTGGCCAACTATGCGCAGATGAGAGCCACATCAACTGGGAAGCTTTTGTTTCCAGTTCCTAATCGGCGTGCAATCTAAGGCCCTCGAGGCTAATATAAGCCTTGCGGAAGTGCTGCAATCAGAATCCCCACATGGAGGGTAGTTGGCTAGGAAGTCTGCTCGCCGATAAGATCGATTGGGGGCAATGCAGCTGGTCGGGATTTGCCTTGTTGCCAGCCATAACTCACAGTTAAACCAAAGCACAAGGAATGACACTTTACTGGATTTATTAGCCACGGTTACGGGCGAATTTATAGCAATTCCACTGCTCATCAAAGCCCTCAATTACAGAAGCCAGCGATCGATAAGCGCAATTGCTACTCCCGGACATGACAGTCCGGGAATAATGTTAGTTTGTTATTGCCAGGGAACATACGATTAGTTTCCCCAATCGCTTTTCATTTACTTAAGATGCATTTTGAGTTATACCCAATTATAGCCCATTATACCCAATGAAGTCTTAAATATTAGGCCTTTTAAACTCTAGATAAAGCAGATAGAGAGATGTATATTAAGCAGATAACACATGAAAAACTGATTATCATTCATATTTTTCCAACTTGACAATGTGAAGGGTTTATACAATGATAAGTTCGTAACATAGTCAATTTAAATGATGATAAGCTCAAAAATAGATCAGGTGTATACTCGTATGTATTCCTTGGTGCGCGCACAAACAGTTAAGTAAAAATCAATAAATTGTTTTCTAGCCAGATGAGTTTTGGGTGCATATTTTGGTAATGTGTAAATATTAAGAAATTATTACTTACATAAGCAAATAGCATCGAGGACTCAATTCTGGCGCGTTTACTTTGGAGGCTTCTTTAAACACCGAAGCACCATCTGCCAATTACATGCCAACATGCCTTGTTATGCAGTCAGGAGAATGTACAGCATGTCCGCGGGTGGAGTGCACCTGGTTGATATCTCAATACCTTTGTTTCCAGATCACCTGGGCAGCAAGCTGAGCGAGGCGTGGGAGAAGGAGGTCGAGAAGAAGCGCAAAAAGAAGAAGACCCCCAGCCTGCTGAAGGCCTCCATGAACGTGTTTGGCTGGCGCCTGGCCGGCCTAGGCCTGGTCCTCTTCATCTTGGAGATCGGTTTCCGGTAAGCTGCGGCGCCACGCCCACCTCCCGACAGCTGGCTGATTTATAACCCGTAACCCATGCTCCTTTCAGAGTTACCCAGCCACTTTTCCTGGGCGGTCTGGTGGCCTACTATGCGGACGCGAGCAACCAGGAAGGCGATAACCAGACGAAGGCATACCTCTACGCCCTGGGCGTGATCTTGACAAGCGCCTGCAACGTGCTCTTCATGCATCCCTACATGCTGGGCATGTTCCACATCGGCATGAAGGCCAGAATAGCCATGACAAGTGAGTTGGGATGGGGATTGTTCTCTTTGTGACACATGAATAACGATCGCCCTGCAGGCATGATATATCGGAAGGCGCTGCGATTGAGTCGAACGGCGCTGGGCGATACCACAATTGGTCAGGTGGTCAATCTCATCTCCAACGATGTGGGCCGGCTGGACGTCTCCGTCATCCACATGAACTATTTATGGCTGGGCCCGGTGGAGATTGGCATTATCACGTACCTCATGTACAGGGAGGTAAGTAATCATTGCTGTTCATATCTCAGTTTTAAGAACATTGTATGGTTATGTTTTATTCATATATAGTACAAGATTAGATCAACTTTAAGCTATAGAAGATTAAAAGTTTACGACCTTCAAAAAATATAATTGGGGTAGGTCCACGTTATACATGGGAATAATATAATTTTGGGATATTTTAATATTTAAAACATAACATGAAAACTATAACTATATTATATTATATTTTCTTATTCAAACAAGTTCCATTCGAATACGAAACTCAGTTAAGGCTCAAAGAAGTTTTTTTTCGAATTTCTGAAACGCTTTTGAGTGCAGTAGATAATAATATCTGAATGCGAAGCTGTGAGTCATGCACTAGTAACACCCACTTCCTTCACAGATTGGCATCTCCGCCTTCTTCGGCGTGGCGGTGATGTTGCTGTTCATACCCCTGCAGGCTTATCTGGGCAAGAAGACCTCGGTGCTGCGACTGAAAACGGCTCTGCGGACGGATGAACGAGTGCGCATGATGAACGAGATCATTTCGGGCATCCAGGTGATCAAGATGTACGCGTGGGAGATTCCCTTCAGCAAGATGATCAACTATGTGCGCACCAAGGAGATGAACGCCATCCGCAACGTGAACTACATCCGAGGTACGCTGCAAAGCTTCATCATGTTCGTCACGAGGATATCGGTGTTCGTGAGCTTGGTGGGATTCGTGCTGCTTGGCAAGCTTCTGACCGCCGAGAAGGCCTTCGTGATCACCGCCTACTACAATATCCTGCGCAACACCATGACCGTCTACTTCCCCATGGGAATATCCCAGTTTGCCGAGCTCTTGGTCTCCATCCGGCGTATCCAGACTTTCATGCTGCACGAGGAGACGAAGGTGCGTGACAAGTCGGAGGATCTGGACGAGCAGAAGCTGGGCAAGGCGGGTCTAATTGCTGAACCCGCCGTGGCCCAGACCACTGGTGTCCTGAAGCCAAGTAGTCGGCGAACCAGCGAAGCGGAGCACAGTATCGTCATTAGCAAGCTGAAGGCCAAGTGGGATCAGAAGAGCACGGACTACACGCTGGACAACATCTCGCTTAAGTTCAAGCCCCGTCAACTTGTGGCAGTCATTGGGCCAGTGGGCTCCGGAAAATCCAGCTTGATCCAGGCTGTTCTGGGAGAACTTAATCCGGATTCTGGTTCGGTCAAAGTCAATGGCACTCTCTCCTACGCCTCTCAGGAGCCGTGGCTCTTCACCGGCACTGTGCGCCAGAACATACTCTTTGGACTGCCCATGGACAAGCATCGCTACCGCACTGTGGTCAAAAGGTGTGCCCTGGAGCGGGACTTTGAGCTGCTGCCCTATGCTGACAAGACTATTGTAGGCGAGAGAGGAGCATCTCTCTCTGGGGGACAGAAAGCACGTATCAGTTTGGCCAGAGCTGTTTACCGGAAGGCTGACATCTACCTGTTGGACGATCCCCTGAGTGCCGTGGACACCCATGTCGGACGTCATCTGTTCGATCAGTGCATGCGTGGATTCCTGCGCGAGGAAATCGTTCTGCTTGTGACCCATCAACTGCAGTTCCTGGAACAGGCCGACGTTATTGTGATCATGGACAAGGGCAAGATCAGCGCTATGGGAACCTACGAGTCCATGGCCAAGAGCGGCCTGGACTTCGCCCAGATGTTAACGGATCCCAGCAAGAAGGATGAGGGTGCCGGCGATGCCCCGGACAAGAAGAGTCTCTCGCGGCAGAACAGTAAATTGCGCGACCGACACGGTAGCATCTCCTCCATGGAATCTGCAGCCGAGTCCTTGGCCGCAGAGTCACCCATGCAGACGCAGGAAGGCCGCGTGGAGGGACGCATAGGAATGAAGCTCTACAAGAAGTACTTTGGAGCGAACGGCTACGGACTGTTTATCGTGTTTGCGTTCTTCTGCATAGGTGCCCAGGTGCTCGCCTCTGGTGGTGATCTCTTCTTGTCCTACTGGTAAGTCAGAGACTTGGAAGATTAGGCTTTCCTTAACCGTTTAATTGCATATCCAGGGTGAACAAAAATGGTGAAGCAGAGCGCGACACATTTATGGCCAGATTGAGACGCGCCTTTCCCGAAACCCGCATCAACGCCGACACCGATCCTGTGGACATCTACTACTTTACGGGTATCAATGTGTCTGTGATCATCTTCTCGCTGGTGCGGAGCATGCTCTTCTTCTACCTGGCAATGCGCAGCTCCACGACACTGCACAACACGATGTTCCAAGGTGTGACCCGAGCGGCGATGCACTTCTTCAACACCAACCCCTCCGGACGCATCCTCAATCGCTTCTCCAAGGACTTGGGTCAAGTGGACGAGATTCTTCCCTCCGTGATGATGGACGTGATGCAGATCTTCCTCGCCATCTTGGGCATCGTTGTCGTCCTGTGCATTGTTAACGTATGGTACATCCTGGCCACGGTTTTCCTTGTGATCGTTTTCTACATCCTACGCGTCTTCTATCTGAACACATCCCGAGATGTAAAGCGGCTCGAAGCTGTCAGTAAGTATATTTTTATGTTTTAATACACACACTATCAGTGTAATCCCATTTATTTAATTAATATTTGATATCCACAGCACGGTCCCCCATTTACTCCCATTTGAGTGCTTCCCTTAATGGCCTGGCCACCATCCGAGCATTTGGAGCGCAGAAGGAACTGATTGCCGAGTTCGACAACTACCAGGATATGCACAGCTCTGGCTACTATATGTTCCTTGCTACGAGTCGAGCCTTTGGGTACTGGCTGGACTGCGTTTGTGTCGTCTACATCGCCGTAATCACACTGAGCTTCTTCCTGTTCTCCCCGGAGAACGGTGGTGATGTCGGTCTGGCCATTACCCAAGCCATGGGCATGACCGGTATGGTCCAGTGGGGAATGAGACAATCGGCAGAGCTGGAGAACACGATGACGGCAGTGGAGCGAGTGGTGGAGTATGAGGATCTTGAGCCGGAGGGTGACTTCGAGTCCAAGCCAAATAAGAAACCGCCAAAGGATTGGCCAGAGGATGGAAAGATCGTGTTCGACGACCTTTCGCTGAAGTACTTCCCCGATAAGGCGGCCGACTACGTGCTCCGATCTCTGAACATTGCGATCGAGGGTTGCGAAAAGGTGGGCATTGTGGGACGCACTGGTGCCGGCAAATCTTCGCTGATCAACGCTCTGTTCCGTCTGTCCTACAACGAGGGTGCCATCCTGATCGACAGGCGCGATACCAACGACCTGGGGCTGCACGATCTGCGCAGCAAGATCTCCATTATTCCTCAGGAGCCGGTGCTGTTCTCGGGCACAATGCGTTACAATCTGGATCCCTTCGACGAGTATAGCGACGCCAAGCTGTGGGAGTCTCTGGAGGAGGTTAAGCTTAAGCAAGTGGTGGCTGATCTTCCCAGTGGCTTGCAGAGCAAGATATCCGAAGGGGGTACCAACTTCAGCGTGGGTCAGCGCCAGCTCGTGTGCCTAGCTAGGGCCATTCTCCGAGAGAATCGCATTCTGGTGATGGACGAGGCAACGGCTAACGTGGATCCGCAAACGGATGCTCTTATCCAGACGACAATTAGGAACAAATTCAAGGACTGCACGGTGCTCACAATTGCCCATCGCTTGCATACGGTTATGGACTCGGACAAGGTGCTGGTAATGGACGCTGGAAAGGCGGTGGAGTTCGGATCTCCGTTCGAGCTGCTCACAACCAGCGAGAAGAAGGTGTTCCACAGCATGGTGAAGCAGACAGGAGACTCGACTTTCGATGCCCTGCTGAAGGTTGCCCAAAAGGTGGGATACGTTCAAAGATTCAATGTACCTTGTCCTCATACGTAAGCTCATACTTTGTGTTCCTTTCAGGCCCATGACGACAACCTGCGGCTCAAGAAGGATTCTTGACATTTCGCCGTGCCGAAGGCTTTTAAAGACTACATACTTAAGATACTGGAACCAATTACGAATCATCCGGCGGCCAATGCGGGTATTCAGAAGACCTTCCTCTTTGCGGAGGCCTCCAAGCAGAAGTTGTTAGGATAGCACGCCATCAGCGGCACCAGCAGACATCCACACTGAGCGGCCGCTGAGGAACTTTTTACAATACGTGTACAAATCATATTAATTGTTAGTCAGGTGTATAAAACTAGGAAATCAAAAAGCAAGACAATAAGCTGATGTTAGAGGAGCGTAGGAGTAAATGTTTTTGTACCTTAAAAAAGATTGATATAAAATGCAAATTGTGCAATAATTAATTTAGCTGAACTTTGTGCATTGGCCTTCAAAAGGTCGCATTGCATTTGTATTATGTGTTCCAGTAAAACGACAATAACAACCTTAAAGAAAAAAAATCAAAAAACCCCAAAAAAAGGAAAAAATTAAAAGAGAATTCTATGAAATGTTACGCCTAGTATAGTATATGAGTGTTTTTATAGTAATTTATTAATGTACAGGTATACAATAAATGTAACAGCTCGGTTGGTTCTTTTGTTAAAACGTTTTCATTTGGTTTATTTTATTATAGCGACATACATTTAGCTACTGCTATATATACTAAGAAATTGTACGCATTTAACTCCAAAGTATCTTCCATTAGCTGCAAGGCCCTCACAGAGCTCACTTAAATCTAACTTTAATTAATTCACACACGACACGAGATTCATGTTTAGCTGATGTTGTTTATTAGAGTTGGCTTAGCTTTAGTTGCCTAAGCAATAAATTGTTGTTCGGCGTGTGCTACATAAGATATACATAGGTGGCCTCTCCTCCCTGCATCCTACAGGACCAGCGAAAGCCACGCGGCCATCAGGCAGAATCCTCCGACGGTCGCGTACGGCTGCAGCCGCTTCTCGCCAGTCAAAGCGCGGTAGTACATGCAGCCACTGAAGAGCATCGTGCCCATGATCATCAAAGCCCCAGTCTGCGGGAGGAATCAAATAAATTACTTTAAGAAATCGCAGTCAATTGGGGCTGTTCCGATCTCCACTGTTTCCGAAATGTATATCAAATCAAAGCTAAACGCCTATTGTAACCAAAAGATTTAAGGATACAAAGAATTTATAGCATTTAAATGTTCAGTCAGGAATCAAGATATGTGTAAGAAAATCCAAATTCCAATTAGTGTACCAGCAGCGAAACATCCTTCTTGACCCAAGCTTCAAGTCAGATTGTTATCTAAACTGCATTTACATTTTAAAATCAAAAACGGAACAGGCCCCATAGTATTTAGGCTACGACTAGAAGTTAGCGAAGACGGCCAGCGTTTTGAGTGCATATTTTGGTGTTAGCTTTAGTTGTTAGCTTTAATGTCGACAAAACGGAGCTCGAAAAAGCCCACATTTTACTTATCAAATAAGGCTGATGACAACAAATACCAATTACAAGATAACAGCAAAAACGAGAGAATCTATGCCTTTTTGGTACATTTTTAAAATACGATTGTAATGATGAAGTAAATCAAAAATTCCTACCCAAGACCCCGAACCCATATCAGCTATGAACCTGCTCATATCACAGACCTAAGAATTATCCGAATTAATGCAATTATACAAGTATCGTGCGTGGTATTGAAAATTACTTTGTAAGCTGCAATTAGTGGTTGTTGAATATTTAGCTTTAGCTTTGGAAACATTTCATATACAACATGAATATACATATGCATACCTATATTATAAAGAAGTAACTTGGAAGCGCTTGGCCCAAACCAATATTCATTCTTAGCTCAATTTTTGTAAAGTCAATCAGCGCATTAGACTGGCTAAGCAGAGTCAATTATTCGAGTATCAATGTTGGAGTTTCGATTCGAGAGTAACGCGAGTTGTTATAAATTCCGTTCAGAGATCTAACTTTACACAGAGTATATGTAAACGACAAACCGACAAAGAAAAGCTTTACAAATAAACCAAATTCGATCAATATCGATTACGAAAAATTGATAATTTTTTTTGGATTATTCCTTAACTCAAGATGGGACTTGCGGAAGTAGGACTTAACCAGACAGGAAGTGGATATTTCCAAAGGAATACAAATTGTAATCCAAAGTATTGACACCAAAACCGTTATTGACTTTTTATTTAACTTATGGAAGAAATTTGTGTTCTACTTTATCTGGATTTTGAAACTATTAAGCGGTTTCTCAAAAATTCAAAATTGTGTGCCATTCGAAGGATTCTTAGCATTCAAAAGGATATATACACAGTATCACTGGTAGCAACGGACTACATAATCCTATTCCATCCTATCCTATTTGGAGTTTCCCCTATTTATACTTACGAATACGGGATAGTGGGCCAGAGGCATGGCCATCATGGCAAAGGAATGCAAGAAGTGGATGCGATTGGCCACATCAGCGAAGGCCTGCGAGTCCACCTGCTCCTTGGGGTCGCTGACGTCCTTCAGGACGTACTTGCAGTAGGCGCCCATAAAGATGGCCGACGCGCCGCCGATCCCGGCCAGCCGCACGAAGTGGTAGTGGCTGCCGGCCAGGCGGTAGAGAGATCCATGTGGATGCTTGTAGCTTTGCGCGGAAGGGAGTAGCGGCATGCTCGTCTCCTGCACGGGCACGTTCTTGGGACGCAAACCCTGCAGGAAGATAGATAGGAATGATCAACCCGGAGCTTCGTCTGGGAAAAGTCGATTAGTTACAAGGGCGCGGAGCAGGCCAGATGCGGACGAGGCTACCATCTTGCTGACAGGATTGCCAAGGGTCACGTATTCAATGGTGTCGGCGATTGACATTGTGTACTGTTTGCTCAAACTACGTTTGGCGCTAGAAAATCAGCTGCGGCGCTACTAAAAATTTTGACGCAAAATGCCCAGGCGTTGCCGGACTGGCGGTCTAGTCGATGTTTCCAATCGATTGGATTCTGGAAATTTTAACGCCACTTGAATCAGAATTTCTTAACGTTTGAAGTGAGAGGAAAGGGTGATATAATAAACCAAACAAAACAAATATAAATACTTTGGGAACTTTCGTATGGTTATACCACTCAAATTTAAACACTCATTTAACATAAATAGATACGAATTGCTAAAAAACCTCGGTCATTAGTTAGTTAGTTGAGGGATAACTGTTCGTTAATAATTCCGACATAAGAGCACCCCTAGCACTCCGTATCTCAGTAATGCCCCCATATATAAACCACAGCTGATAGCTTCGCGTCACTTGACAACCCTGCCGTTTGACCGGTGCGCTACACTGAAAAATCAGTGCTCAATTTGGAAAGCTATTTTTGCCGGCTCTGCGAAGAAAAATAATCAAGGCAAGTGGAAGTTCTTATATATAAAAACCCCTTATCGGCCGATCCGTGGTGAGCAGGTCGGGGCGTAAATTTATGTATATTAGCTGCCGAAGCAAAGCAATCACTGACAATTCGAACTCTTTTCAGTCGAGTCACCGCAGTGGAACAATGAAAACTGCAACTTATTGCGCATTTGTAATTATGGCGACCATAGTCGCCATAAGCGGAGTAAAAGGAGTCGAGGGGGAACGCCCCTACAGGCGGAGCTTTATCAATCCGTATCCGCGGTACCAGTTCTTCGATGATGGCGTTGATCCCGGGGAGCCCCTGTTCCTGACGCCCCTGATCAACAATGCTTCGATGCCCAAGCAAAAGGTTCAGGAGCTGGCCCGCGTCGTGGGCTCCCAGTTCCATGGAGTTGAGAGCTACTCTGGCTATTTGACCGTGGACCCCGGCTTCAAGTCCAACATGTTCTTCTGGTACTTCCCCGCCGAGAAGGATCCGGAATATGCACCAGTGGTCCTTTGGCTTCAGGGTGGACCAGGTGCCTCCTCACTGTTCGGATTGTTTACGGAGAACGGCCCTCTGGAGTTGGACGGTCATGGGAAGCTACAAAAGCGCAACTATACCTGGAGCAAAACACACAATCTCATCTACATTGACAATCCCGTGGGCACTGGCTTCAGTTTCACCGAAAACGATGCCGGCTATGCCAAGAACGAGAAAGATGTAGGCCGCAATCTGCACGAAGCCGTGATGCAGCTGTACGAACTCTTCGAGTGGAGAAACTCCTCCGGGTTCTGGGTCACCGGGGAGTCCTATGCCGGAAAGTACGTGCCCGCCCTGGCTTACCACATCCACAAGGTCCAAAATGCCATAGAGACGCGCGTCTATGTGCCGCTAAAGGGCGTGGCCATCGGAAATGGTCTCTCGGATCCGCTGCATCAGCTAAAGTACGGCGACTATCTCTACCAGCTGGGCCTGATCGACGAGCACGGACTGCAGAGTTTCCACGATGCAGAGGCAAAGGGAGCTGCATGCATCCAGAAGCACGACATGGAGTGTGCCTTCGACGTATTCGATTCCCTAATCAACGGGGACCTCACCAATGGCTCACTGTTCAGCAACCTCACTGGGTACAACTGGTACTACAACTACCTGAAGACCCATGACGATGACGGAGCCAACTTGGGTGAATTTCTGCAGGCGGGCGCCACTCGGCGTGCAATTCATGTGGGCAATCAGCCGTTCCACGATCTGGACAAGGAGAACAAGGTCGAACTTCACCTGAAGAAGGATGTCATGGACAGCGTGGCTCCGTGGATAGCCGAACTGCTAGCCCACTATACTGTGTGCATCTACAGCGGGCAGCTGGACATTATTGTGGCCTATCCACTGACGCGCAATTACCTCAACCACCTAAAGTTCCCCGGCTCGGACAGGTACAAGGTGGCTCCCCGTGAAGTGTGGCGCATTGGAAAAGAGGTGGCCGGTTATGTCAAGCACGCCGGACATCTGGTGGAGATCATGGTGCGCAATGCCGGGCATATGGCTCCTCACGATCAGCCCCAGTGGCTGTACGAGATGATTAATCACCTTACTCATTACAAGCACTAGGAGCTGCATACCTAAGCTATTCTATACAATTTGGTCCCCATTCAAAGCACTTTTTATAAAAACGGTCATTAATAATATGGTGTGATTTTTTAATACATAAATATTTTGAAGAGACAAACTTGGCATGGTTTTGTAAATACTCAACTAATTTCATCTCATATGTAATAAAACTAATATAATATATAACAAATTTTAATCAATAAAGATGCCAAAAATCTACTGTAAAGGCGAAGCAGGTTCAACAATCATTTTTTATTTAAATAAATAAGTTCAGATAAGATTAATCCTAGGTCAACCTCCCCTTATTTATTCTATCCAATAGAAACTAGAGTAGATTAACAATGCTATTTAACAAATTACTATTAACTTGACAGTTAATAATTAACTTTCGTTTGCTCCCTTAAAGTTCCTGGCCAATAGAAAGTGCTCGGCAGAATCTCCGCGACTAGCGCGCGGTTTTATTCTCTTCACTTTCTCATAAAACCTAAGCATATCCCGCTCCAGCTTGGGCACGTCTCCATTATCCCACACCTTGACCACGAGATGGGCCTGCGGAGCAGACATTGCTAGGGCAAAGCGTAGCACCTCGTAGCAGAGGTTCGTGATGCTCTCCTGGTCCAGCATCCTCACTCCGGTGGCATTG